AAGGTGATGTTAATGCCCAGAGTTCTCCATTTAATCAGCAGCAAACGATTTTAATAGATGAAAATTACATAAAGCACTCGTCAGGCCAATTATATCAGCCAATATTAGTACTAGCTTTTATGTCATTAAGTCTCAACAAGATATAACATTCAGGGCTCAGCCCAAACCCTCAGGGTGTCTGCAGGCGTTTCTCTGGGGGAGATTTTTCCCCATTTTCAGCAGCTCTACATGCACTTTTTTTCAAGCCTTCAATAGAAAGCCTAAAAATCTGCATATAATTTGGGAAAAACATAATAGTTGCCAAGAAAAAAAAAATCTTGTAGAGCCTTCATCCTATTTTGTATCCATGCTCTAAAACGGTCTCCATCATTTAGAAACCATAACACAACATATGTTGAGGATGACTCATTTTCAATCCTTGAAAGAGGCAGAAATTGTTTGATGTTACTATTTGAAGTTACATAACATAGGTAGTGTAGGAATTTGGCACCAACAGCATTACTAATCTTAAAGCCTATTTATGTTATAATCGGCAGAGTTCACAGAATGAATGTTTAGCTGACGAATCTGCTGCCTTTCAATCCAGGCCATAATAATCTGGGCTGCTGTAAATGTAAATCAAGGATTCCCAACACTGCCATTTAAATGTGGTCTTTGATACTCTGAAGTGAATATTAGTTCAACAGAAGAACATTAACTTAATTATATTAAGTTTTTTAAGGAATAGCATGATAGGGTAAAGACACAGACATTATCAGACCTAAAAGATTTAGGGCTTTAAGAAAACATTTAGGTTGGAGCCCCAGAGGCCCCTCTGCCTCTGTTGCAGAACAGGACTAAAGAGCACAAAAGGTATGTTTGAGGAAATTTAGCAACAGTCTTGCCATTACATCATTACATAGTTTGTCCACTAGAGGGCACTGACAAGTTTATTTTTCAAGTGCAAAAAAATTCAGCTCAGCACATAACTAACATAACTATTATCACTCAATATGGCTGTACAGTATGTTTGAAATCATCATGATGTGGAAGAAAGATTTATATGT